CCCAGAAAAACCCTAGAGATGGAAGTGGCTTCATGGGTAGCAGCAGCTGGGGGGTTTGGTTGTCATTGAGGTGGGGGCCAGGGACCCTTGGTTGAGAGCTGGACGGTGCTGCAGGCTACTGGTCCTCAGCCTTTTTGGCTTCTGATTCTCTGGAGTGACCTTGGGCAGCCCTCATGCAAAACACACTTCTTCATGTTCCTCATGTTCATCAGAAATTTCGCACACAGAAGAATCCTTTTTTTTTTTCTTTTTTTTTTAACAGACACCAAACCAGATCCAGGAAGAAGAATCGTTTTGAATGTGGGAAAAATTATAGTCGTGCAGCTTAGCAAAAATTCAAAAATCCATAAAAATAAACCTCCGAAAAGGAAAGAAATATTTTAAATACCTTGAGTAACCCAAGCAGCATATGAAGAACTCCTTTCTTCCTCCCTCTACCCGCTTTTTGTAATCCCTGATCAGGAAATCAGCAAAGTTGGGATGTCGCGTTGCAGGCTCCCCCTTGGTGGCTCTGGGTACCAAATGATGTGCGGCCCGTGGGCTGGATGCCTGCCACGGAGTGGGATCTGTGGGTTTCTTCGGCCTGGTTTCCTTTCCCTGGAGCTTGGAAATGCCACACAAGACACCGAGATCCGTTTCCAAAATCTGAGCCAGTTTACCGTCAGACCCTCTGTTTAATATGATGTGTGTGGCTCTAGGAAAGTAGGGCTGAGCTGAGGTTCCCGACTCTTGTCTTTGAGGCCTCCCAGCCCTGTCTGGGGACGTCCTGGCCTGTTGTCACCGGAGGACCCTATTGTTGGAGGGATGGACCCCTTTGGGGGCTCATCGTGGGCTCTGGGGAGCAGATGTTAGGAGCCAAGAAGAGAGTCAGTATGTTGGCAAAGGCTCTTCCCGCATCTCTGTCTTAAAAAGAGAAACTGTCCTCCCTACCTCAAATGACCTTCTCAATCTTTCCCTTTCCTCCACCCTCATGTGGTGGTGTCCCAGAGACATAACTGCTGTGTCCCGGCAGGGGGCGCCCGTGCACCTGCCAGGAGTGAACGTCAGCCTGTTTCCTGACAGGCACAGGTGTACGCACGGTGCTCAGAAGTGTGGGGTGTGAGAGGGGGCTTCTGGGTGGTTTCCCCAAGCTGGTGTGTGAATGTGTGTACCCCCAAAGCAAGAAGAGAGGAGGGGTGCCGGCCGGTCCTTGTCTGAGGTTGCGTGTTTATAACCTTGCATTGCTCCGAGGGCTGTGCGATCCAGGGAATGGCTGGGGACCTCGCCCCTGCAGAAGGGGAGGGGGCAAGGCGTCTGACTGACATCTGGTTTTCATAAAAGGCCCCACCCTCCTTGCTCCATAGCCTCTCCTGCTCCCATCCGCTCCCAGCCCTAGCTGCCCTGCTGTCACTCTGCAGTCACTTTGCAGAGCAGCGGAGGCACTGGGAGTCGGAGGTCAGGTGGGGCGAGGAGGCAGCGTCTGCGGCAGGCTCTCAGACCGCGGCACTGGCCAGAATCAGCGGGGCTGATTCCTGGTTTCACACGAGTGTGTCTCCTGGAGCGGGTTCCCAGGCACACAGAAGGCCCTTTTCTTCAGGACCAGGCATGCGTGTCTGTCTGTTTCAGCCCACTGGCCCCTTAGGAATGGGCTGCGGCAGCTGTCTGCCCTCTGTTCATGATTAACTTTCCTGTCTCCTCCCTGACTCCAGACTCCCGCCCAGGCCCCCTCAGCCTTTGGGGTTCCCCTGGGTTGGGGCAGAGACCCCGGCTGGCAGCTGGCTGGCACTTGGTTCTCAGAGACTGTGGGGCTCTGGGGTCTGCAACGGGCCTTTCGGGTCCCGAGAGCTGGGCCACTGCTTGCTGGGCACTAGTCGTTGGGTGGGAGGGGGTCTGGAAGAAGACCCCTCCTCTGGCTGCTGCAGTCCTCCCCGACTGTGCTTCCTGTGGGCTGTGTGTGTCCAGCTTTCTGGGTCCACCCCAAAGCGCCCCACGGATGTGGCCTTAGAATACCTTTGAGTCACGAATGTGAAAATTGTTCCCTTTCAGTTCTCTTTCAAACCGTGATTTCTTCAAGGATAGTGTTTGGTGCAAGTGTGTCGCTAACACCTAACACTGCCTATTTTTCTTTTTTAAGGAAGTTGCTTCAGGCTAAGAGCCTTCCTCAGGCTGATCAATGTGTATTTGTTTTCATGGTCTGAATGGCAAGTGATAATGGATTTTCATTCAGGGTAGTGATAATGTTTTCTTTTAAAATTAAGTAAAACAGTGGGTTGATTTACTTAAAGCAAAATAATAAGTGAAGAACAGAGTTACATGACATTAAGACAGAAAATTGTGAAGGTGGTATGGGAATGGCCAGACTTTGGGAGGCTTTGGCCGAGCCAACTGCATACGCTACCCGGAAATGGTCTCGTTCTGTGGTTTGGGGTGTGTTAGCCCTGTTTATTTGGGCAAGGGGAGTCTTCCGTTTCTCTCTCTCACCCTAGTCTCTTGCACAAAGCTGCACAAATGGTGGAATGAGCAAGCCCATCATAGACAGTTGTCACATTCTCTGCCATCAGTGAGTTCTCTTGCATTTTGGTGGTCCCTCGGTGGGGCCTGGGTGTGATGGGCTGTAGGGGCTGGGGTAGCAGTTAAGCAGGAGAATCTGGTCTGTGCTCCAGGGGTGGCCAGGCTTGTGGGACAGGGCCAGAAGGAAAACTTCTAGCTCTTAGGGACCCAGGAATCAGGGTCTGAGAGGTTATGGTCTTTTGGAGACAGGCTCGTGTTTTCAGCCACATTGGGTTTGGAAACATGGTGGCTGTGGAGGAGCTGAGAGTGTTTGGAACCCCAGAACATGCATGCATAATGGAACCTGCCTGGTGGAAAGATTTCGTGTTATCATTCCAATGCCCTGTTACCCACTGTGACCTGAACTAGCTTCTAGGCAGTGGGAGATGGGCAGGAACCACTCACATTCTCACCCGCTGGGCACAGGGTCAGGTCTTCCACTGAAGTGCAGCCTTCCCCGGTGTGTGTGGATAAAGTACACCCCATGCTGGGCTAGACCTATGGCCAGTGCCACGGTCACCCTCTCTGCCATCGAGTTGAAGTAGTCCATCAGCTACCTTGTCTGTACTCTGTGCTACCTCGGGTAAGAGAAGCTCTGGCTGTGTGCTGGGGTTCTTCCCTCCTCCCCACCAAGGACACTCATTTCCCTATTCTTTTTCCAGACCTATTCTCAAGTGACTACTGGCATAGTCCTTGCAGCCTGCCTAACTGCCAGTCCCAGGAGTGGGGCCTGGGTCACTCAAATCTCTGGCTATAAATAGATGTCCATGGGTATATCCGTGATCTCCCCCCCACTCCGGGTGGGGGCAAAGCCATTGCTAATGGATGTGTCATAAACAGACAAGGTGCATTTTTGAACCACCCTGGTGTCCCCCAGAGAGGCATGGCTGCCCCACCGCGGGCCCGTGAATTATTTGCAGCCCCTTCTCCCTCTCCTGCACCGTCCCCTTCCCTGCCTGGGTTTTCTGTTTGCTTGAACACCAGACTGTATAAAAAAACAAGGCAAATTGCTTCAGGGACCTCTTTGGCCCCAACAGGGCTGTTTCCAAAGATGGACTAATTGGCTTGTTTTAATTCCCCCCAGCCCCCTGGCCGCTTGCCTTCCTCTAGAGGCAAAATGGTTAGTTATGCGTCGGGCGGAGGGGGCTGGGAGGCTGGACAGCAAACGGAAGTGGATGAGGAGCTTACGAGCACCGGCTCCCCCATAGCGGGGACCGGGCCACGGCCTTATCCCCAGGAGCTGGTGTGACCTTATGTCCTGCCGTTCGGAAGTGGAGACGAACCTCGCACACGGTGCGCAGGAGGCAGGGAAGAACGGACGCCGCGGGTGTGCCCTGGCCAGCGCTGGGGCCCCGGTGCCGGTACAGCGGGGTGGGGGCTCCCCACCTGCGTCTCCCTGGCAACCTGGCCCGCGAGGAGGAGGTGTAGTCGCGGAGAAGTTGATCATTGACCCTGTATTGTGTTAAACTCCCCGAGCTGGAAAAGCAAACATTAACGGGGAGCTGACCCCAGCCCACTCCTCCATCCCCCACGACGATCCTTTCCTTTCGCGGACTCCGGGGGGAGGTGGGAGGTAGCAGTCCCCCTAATCAACACGCCCCCCAACCCCGGGCCCCGGCCGGCCGGGGAGCTCGGAGCCAGGAGAGTGGGGCGCCGGGCTGTGGGCACCAGGTGCCCCTGGTCACCGGGCAGCCTGGCCCTGGGGCGGGGGAGGCCCGCGGCGGTGGCCGAGCGCACAGGCAGTTTCGCTTGGACAGAGGACGCGTGTTTCCTCTCCGTGCATGTTTTTTCTCCCTCTGTTTTAAAGGCAGTGACAGCATCGGAGAAGTATCCCGGCGGGCCGGGCTGGAGAGTGCGTCAGCCGCCTCTGCCTGGGGCGGGAGCCCGCAGCCGGCCGGCGGGGGCGCGGGGCCGGGGACGCGGGAGCGCAGGGGAGGGGACGAAGAGGGCGAGGGCGAGAGAAGGGCAGGGGCCGGGCAGCCGGGCTGGCGGGGCGAGCACCTAGGAGAGAGGCGAGGGGCGAACGCGGCGCCGAGTCCCCGGGAGCGCCGGGCGCAGGGGGGCCGTCTGCCTCCCGCGGACGGTGGGGCAGCCAGAACCGCCCGCGCCGCCGGTGCCCTAGGCCGGCCGAGCGCCCGCGGCCGGGGCGGGGAGGCGGGGCCGGGGCGGGGTCCCGGCGCGGGCGGCGCGTCTGAGCGAGAGCCGGGAGCCGCCGGCCCGGGCCGCGCCCGGAGCGAGCCTCGGGAATGCCTGCGCTGGGGGAGCGGCCGCCGGCCGCCCCGCGGGCCCCGAGGAGAAGCTGAAGGTCGCCGGGAAGTGAGCGCCCAGTCACCTGACCCCCAGGGCGCACCTAGGCGGGGCGGGGCCCATGAGAGGCGGGCGGCCGGGGCCGGGGCGCGGGCTCGGGGGCCGGGTGCGGGCGGCGCGGAGCGCGCGGAGCCAGGGCAGCGGGGACGCGCGGCGGGCGGCTGAGGGCGCGGCCGGGCACCGCGGGCGGCCTCGCCATGTCCCAGCCGGCAGGGAGGATGCATTGCCGAAAGGCGGGGATCCGCGCCGCCGTGGTGCTCATCGGACTCCTGCACAAATCCCGAAAACAGAATAAAGAGAAAAGGTAAAGCCCGGCAGCGCCGGCTCCCGCTTCCTTCTGCTCTCGTGCGAAATTCCAGTTTTCTTTGGGGCGGACTTTTCAACGGGCATTTGGCTCCGGTTTGGATGGAAACAAGCCTCCTCTCCGGGCGCCGTCGTGGGGAGCGAGTTCGGAGCTTAGCCCGGACAGCGGCTCGCCCGAGGAAACCCAGGCAGGACATTGGCTGAGTCCGAGGGCGGCTGGGAGGACCATCGGGACTTATACCCCGCAGAGGGTCACCAAGCCCTTCGCCCCCAGACCCTGCACCTGCAGATCGCGGCGCCCTTGCCAAAGCCTGCAGCTTGGGTAGCATTGATCCCGCCCGGGCGGCAGTCCCTGGCTCAGCTCGAGTGGCTCAATGCGCCGTGTTGCCATTTGCTTCTCTGCAACTTGGCTGAGCCCGCGAGGTGCCCGCCTGGCTGAAATCCACTTGCTGTGCGCTCGGTGGCTGCTAGCAAGGAGCAAGTTTGGGGGTTGCACACTCCACCGCCCCCCTCCCCCCCCCCGTTTCTGCTGGGCTCTATCACCGTGTCTCTGTTGTTGGGTTTTTCTGTCTTTGACTCTTCACCTTTCTTCTGTTTGCTCCTGGGTGTTGAAAATCCGTTTTCTCGACACTTTGGACGACTTGTGGGGTGAGAGGTGTGGGATTTGGGGTGGGCAAAGGAGGTCCTAGGGTAGCTTCCTGGGTTCCAGCCCCTAGCTGCAGGCCTGACATCCACCAGACCCCAGGGAGCTGCCCGTGCAGGTTGTTGGCACAAAGGCTTCCTCTTCTGCCAGGGTACGTGGCACAGCCTCTCAGCAACTAGGGCAGGGGCGGAGGGGGGGCATTGGAGCTGACCCCACAGAGATGGTGATGCCAGGATTTGGTGGCCCTGCTGGATCCTAATTTCCAGGGGACTTTTGGAATAGTTAGTGTTGCACTCTGTATAAGACAAAGGGTAAGACAAGGGTGGTAGAGCCAGAGACACCTAGGTGGTGACCAGCAGCCCCTGGACTTGCCCAGAAGCTGGATGTACCTGGGGGAGGTGGCGGGCAAGGAACAGGAGGGACTTTAAGAAGCTGGCATGGATTGCCCTTATGGTGGGTTGTCTCCCATCCCGCTCATCCTTCCTTCCCATAATGTAGTCTAATAAGATGTTCCCAGTGAAATCTCCAGTGAAATGACTTAAAGTGGCTAAGCACAAAATAACGTTGAGTCACCTAGTGAGAAAGTTCTTCCCGTTTCACTTCTCTACTAATTCTTGTGATTTCTTCAAGGGTGAAGTTTCAGGTTGGTGCTAGTCTGGCTTTGACACATTTTAAAAACACTTGCTAATCTTCCCTTTGTAACAAAGAGCAGACCTCTGGCTCAGGCCCTGTAAGTGGGGAGCAATGCCTGCCTAGAGTTTAAAGGTTGTTGTGTTTTTATACTGTTGAGTTTTAGGATTTTTCTCTTAGTCATGGCCAGTGGTACTGATTTTTCCACTTGTGGTAGTGATATAAAGCAGTGGTCCCCAGTCCTTTTGGCACCAGGGACCATGTTCATGGAAGACAATTTTTCCACGGAGCAGGGAGAAGGGGGATGGTTTGGGGATGATTTGAGCACATTACATTTATTGTATACTTTATTTCCATTATTATTGCATTGTAATATATAATGAAATAATTATACAACTTACCATAGGTTGAGGACCCCTGATATGAAGCGTCACTATAAATTAAACAGATGAAGTCATAAGAATGAATCTATGTAATAGAAATAGTAATAATAATAGTACAAGTTGTATCGAATATGGCAGAAAGCCTGCAGGTGCTCTGGGAATGGCTCATGCTAGGGGGACATGTCTAGCAGAAGAAGCTGCCATCAGAACTCTGGAGCTCAGGTCTGGACCCCATTTTCCCCTGGGCTTGGATTCCCTTCCATTCCTTGCCTTTCAGAATTTTGTCTGGAGAGTAGGGATGAACAAGCCAACTCCCTAAAGTTAGAAGGATGCACAGGATAAAAGTCTGAGACAGCTTGGGTCTGCTTTGAGGGATGAAAAGGCAGATGCATCGGACTAGTTTCCCGGCTTTGAGTCCAGGGTGAGTGGTGGGGTGGAAAAGTCCTTGCACAGAGAACTAGAAGTGTTAGTCCTGGCTCATCTGTTGACTATGATGGGATGATATAGATTTAATCTCCCTGAGCCTCAGTTTCTGCCTCCACACAAAGGGCTTGCGAGGCTCAACTGAGATAATGCAGGGGAAGATGCAACTGAAGGGTATGAAGTGTTGCACAAGCATGTAGGGGGTTTGATCAGAACTGCTCCCATTCTTCTCTCACTGGGCCTGTGCCCTGGTGATCAAGGTAAGATGTCTGGTGGTGACACCCCCACCAGTAGTAGGCAAGACTAGCTGTGCATGGGCCAAGGAGGCAGCCAGGTGGGCCTGGGGCCTGGGCAGAGATAGTCTCGGGGGATGCAGTGAGGCACAGGGAAGGACCCGAACAGGGACAGGGGTTGGTTGGGACCAGGGTGCCCCAGTCCCATGGCGTCTTGCTTTTCTTCCTGGATGACTGTGCTCTTCCCTGCAATGCAGGCAGACACTGGTGGCCTTCCCAGCCCTTGGCTTCATTGCGTTCTTCTGTTGCTCCAGCCATTCTGAAGGCTTTGGCCATGGACTTAACCTACCCAAGGAGACAAAGGGATTGTTTTTTTCTTGGTCCTAAATCTAGATGATCTTTGCTTCCCTTGCTATTTCTGGAGTTTCTTTGTCTTTAAGTATCTGAAATCAGTGCAGGGAGCACTATTGACCCTTGCTCTGCGGGCAGTGGCAGCCACAGGGCAGGGGAGGGAGGTCTGGAGCAGGCTGCAGCTGTCAGCCTCTCCTAAGCATTCCCCAAACTCCATGCTGGGTGTTAAATTTGCTGAGTTCTTCCTCCCAATCTCATCACAGGGTCAGGCCAGATTCAGGTGCCTCCTCATCCTTCCAGAAGGCTTGATCATTCCATCGATCTTCCCAGCACCTCTAATTGACAGGCATGGGCAGATAACACTCTTGGCTCTTAGCCTTAAGGGTTGAAATGGTTGTGTGTGGCTTGCAGCGACTGCCCCGTGGTCCTTGTCAACGTCCTGCTCTCTGTAGGCCACTTGGAAATACTGCATATTAGGGGAGAGGGAGGTGTGTCAGGGAGGGTGGTAATGAGGCAGGTATGAGATGGGTACCCCATATACCTGTCCCCTATAGGCCCAGAACCAGGAGACCCCCAGGCACTCTTGGCAGTCCCTGAGAACTATCAAAAAGCTGCAGTCTCAGTTTGCCTCTTGGAGAAATGGGTGTGGTGCTCACCAGCCTTGACTTGACAGCTTTCTATGGGAGCCATGGGGCAACCTGGAGGTCTGCCTCTTTCTGGCCATCGTGCAGGGTTTCTGTGAAATGGGATCTTGCAGAAGCAGTGGCGTGTCTGAGAGGGGATTGGGTTGGAGCCTGGTTCCCAGGAGGCATCTGAAGGAGGCCTTCCTGGGGGACTGCAGTTTGGAAACCACTGCAATGGAGAGTTCCTTTAAAGCGCTTCAGTGTTAACAGCCTGCTTTCTTATAGACATGGCAGATGAGGGTGAGGTCCCGAGTGCCCCAGGTTAGGTAGGGAGCTCGGTTCCGCTGAGGAGGAAAACAGGCACTTTCAGCGGGAAAGTTGGAGGCAGAGGGACACAATCAAAATGTGTACGTTCTGAAGGATGTTGAAAGGTGTGGATAAAGTGGCCTTGGGCGTGACATTCTGAACCAGAGAAAGGTCAATTAGCATAAAAGGAAAAGAAATCCACTTCTTATGGGGGAGCTCGTTATTTTGGGACAACTCCCATCATGGGGTTTATGAGAAGGAAAATTTAGACTCACTTATCATTCAGCAAGTACTTACGGGCAGCCTCTGGGGGAACAATGAGTCTATCAAAGATGATCCTGACGCTGTGGACTGTCATGTCTGTGTGAGTTATTAGAAAAAGCTCATCGTGGCCAATCTTGTTTCATTTATTTATCAGCCCACCCCCCCATAAGATTATTTTGAAGTCAATCCCAGACATAAGATCATCTTATTCTTAAATATTTTAGTTTGCATCTTAAACATAAAAATTCTTCTTTTTTTTTTTTTGTGACAGAGTCTCACCTTGTTGCCCAGGCTATAGTGAGTGCTGTGGCGTCAGCCTAGCTCACAGCAACCTCAAACTCCTGGGCTCAAGCAATCCTCCTGCCTCAGCCTCCCGAGTAGCTGGGACTACAGGCATGTGCCACCATGCCCGGCTAATTTTTTCTATATATATTAGTTGGCCAATTAATTTCTTTCTATTTATAGTAGACTCTTGCTCAGGCTGGTTTCGAACTCCTGACCTCGAGCATTCCGCCTGCCTCGGCCTCCCAGAGTGCTAGGATTACAGGCGTGAGCCACCATGCCTGGCCTAAACATAAAAATTCTTTTAAAAAAACATAACATGACTGTTATACCTCCCCAAATTAATAATACTTTCTTAATATCATATCCAGTAAGTATTCAAATTTCCCCAGTTATAAAAATTTTCAAAAGTGTTTTTGAGTCCGATTTTAAACAATCCAGAGTGATTGGTGATAGGTCTCTTAATCTGTAAGTTTTCTTTCACCTGTCTTTTTTTTTTTTTTCCTCCTTACAGTTCATTTATTGAAGAAACTGGATTGTTTGTCTTATGGAGTTTCCCACATTCAGGACTTTGTGGATGGTATCTGCCATTACACATGGTCTGTCCCTCGGGTTGCCTGTAAATTGGTATTTAGTTCTAGGGGGCACCATCAGATATGGGTTTGGTATACACACACACACACACACACACACACACACACATATATGTTTTGGCAAGACCATGGTGGCATTTGTAGTTAGTCTGTTTTGTGATATTGGCAGACACTGACTGATTTGTTCCTAGGGTTTGAACCTGGTACCAGGGAGGATACTTGTGTTCCGCTGTTGCAGACAGCGCTACAGGCTGGCTGGACGTGAGCTCA